TGTACACCCGCAGCGCCCTTAATGGTGGGGAGCCTGTCTGCTGCCCGCCTGCCTGCGCCCAGGGTGGCATCTGGTGCTGAGGGGAGACGAGGGCTGAGCATCAGGCAGGGGGGACTGAGCACCGCTGTGAGGACGGGGGACCCAGAGCCCATGTGGCCCCCCCTGCAAGGGAGCAGAGGGTAGCAGGGGCAAGACTCGGGCAGGGGCAGGGGTAGGGCCAGGACTGGGGCAGAGGGAGGGGCGCTGGGGGGCCAATCCTGCTCCCCCTCCCCAGGACCTGGCTGGTGCGGAGCAGGGGTCTGTGCAGGTTGGCCCTGGCACAGCCGGGCTTGGCCTGCCAGGCAAACCCTGCCGGGAGGGGAGGTGATGCGGGTGTGAAGCCTCCCGTGCCGCCCACCCCCATTGGTGCCGTGGGGGCCGTGCCCAGCCCTCACCCGGGGTGCTGGGGCGCAGGCGCAGCGGTGGCAGCTTCTCGCGCCGCAGCATCTGCAACAAACACAGCCCTGAGCTGCAGGAGGGCGAGAGGAGCCGGGCTGGCGAGAGCAGGGACGAGGCCCGGGGCCGCGTCCTGGGCCTGGCACAGCCTGAGCCCCTGCCCCACCTCGCCCCATCGCCCACAAGTGCCCGTGACGGGCCCGTGGGTGTCCCCGGTGCTGCCCACGGCTGCGCGAGAACGGGCACTCACGGCTCCCGCAGGTGTGCGCTCCCGCTGCTCGGGTGGGGAACTACAGGAAACTACCTACCTACCTACCTACCTGAGTACACTACTGAACTACTGGACTAAGGAACTAATTACCTAACTGTCTAACTAACATAGGAACTAGCGATCTATCTAACCAACAAAGTAACTACCTAACGAACTAACTACTGAACTAACAAACTATTGAACTACTGAACTAAGTAACTATCTATCAAATTAACTAACTACCTAACAAATCAATAAACTAATGAACTATCAGACTAACAAGGGAACAAACCAACTAACAGCGAATCAACTAACTCCGCAGACACTACCGACTGGGACGTGCGACTGGCTGCGGGGACGCCACGCGCGCACTGGGCGGAGCCCGGCCGACAGTTAGGCTGGGGGGTGTGATGTCA